TTCCCATGATATCTCCTCAACAAGGCTCACAGGAACTGGATAGCCTCCTCCGCAGTAAAGTTAATTAGTACAAAAGATAAAGAGTAAATCATCAACTAAAGATGCAGGAAACGACTATGTCTGATGCAACAATTGTGCAATTGAAAAGGTCTGCTCACTTCCTCGTCTTTCAACGACAGATCCTATACGCACAGCACCGTCGCCCTTTTCTGTCAATCGTTGCAACACAGCATCAGCCTTCAGAGAGGGTACCACCAATACCATTCCGATACCACTGCAACAGTCGACTCAAACTGTTCACCGTGAAACGGTCAAAAGGAAAAACGTTGATTTCCTCAAAAAAATTGATTCCCCCTGAATTTTTTTAATAAACTCAATCCCGATTCTCCTACGTTGCACAAGATATGCCATCGAATTTGCCTCTCCGGGTCATCCATCCATGTTCAAGATCACCTTGTTAGCATGGTCAAAAAGGCTAATAAACACTTTCCATTTTCGCCTACATAACCAAACATACCAATTGAAAGTACGAAACATCATGTCTGGTTCGACGGGTCCCATCCCAGCCAGCCAATTGAAAATATCAGGCTTTTTCCACGAAGCCACATCAACCTACAAAAATTCTTTGTGAAAGTGGCTCAAATATCTCTAAAAAAACAAAAAGTGTTTGAAGTGCTTCTGCAAATAGCATAATAGCCTCACTTCCATAGCCAAATTACTGCCACTGCTGAGCACTCGAGGGAGATTTTCTGCTATTCCCCCTCCGGTGATATGAGCACACCCCTTTACAAGGCCTTCTTTCAGTAGTGGAAGTACAGGTGTAACATATAGACGTGTGGGAGCTAGTAAAACCTGCCCTAAATTATTGCATTTATCGAAATTGTTTGGATTCAAGTGAAAGTGAAATTGTATACCAATGTTCCGAAGAAAGTTTGGGATTGAGAAAACTCATACTAATTCTTTACTCATTCTGACATGACTCAAAAACAGTATCATAAAAACAAAGCGAACTGGAGGACGCCCAAACGACAAACCGAAGGTCTGCTCTGAATTCCATGGCGTCTTATCACTGTACTGTATTTCGTTCATTTTGAAAATCTTCCTAACCAAAGAAAATCCATTAGAATGTAGACCCGAGGACGGCAAACCTATCAGGACATCACCAACACATAT